GGAGCAAATGGGCTCAAGTTACAGTGTGGGAGATCTAGGTTGGATATTAGGAAAAACTATTTCCCTAGGCGGGTGGGGAAGTGCTGGGCTGGGTTCCCTAGGGAGGGGGTAGAATCTCCATCCCTAGAGGTGTTTCAGTCCCGGCTTGACCAAGCCCTGGCTGGGTTGATTGAGTTGGGGTTGGTCCTGCTTTGGGCAGGGAGTTGGACTCTTCCAGCCCTAGGATTCTTGAAGGTTGCCTTTTATTTTCAGTGAATTCCCCTTCGTCCTTGTATCACACTCAATTGTAACTGCCAGGCACCCAGCAGTTACAATTGCGTGTGATACAAGGACAAAGGGGAATTCACTGAAAATAAAAGGCAGGAACTTGAAGAACAAAGGGAAATCCTGTTCCACAAACATGCAATTAGCCTGCACGTCTTCCTGCCACAAGGCACCAGGGAGACCAGGAGCTCTACCGGCAGGGTTCCGAAAACACAGGCATTGATATGCATCCAGAATGACCCAAGTCGTTGTTTGCAATCCCCACAATGAGAGAGCTTAGAGAGCGTGAGGAGGGCTGTAAGCTCTCCCGTTCAGGGCACAAGCCGACCTGTCCTGGGAGTTAGGAGCAGGCTTTCCGGCGGGCCGGTTATCCCATAACCGCCTCCTGCAGACTTCATTGCATTCTGATAGTCACCGAGCCCCTGAGCTAGGGGGCTCCACACTCGGATCCAATATGGCCGGCCCCGTGTTCCTGAAATACTTGTGGAGTCAATGACAGGTTGGGCTTAATGAGGATGCTGCTCCTCCTCCCTCCCCCACAAAGCGCATTTTCCATTCGTTGATTGCAAATCACTCTACAAAGATGATCGTTTCATTGTCGTTCACGTCCTGACCTGCTAGCCCCTCCACACTCGTCCTCTCAGCTTCCGATTCCCCCTAAATCGCCCCCTTAGATCCCTGACTCTTCACAATCTCAATATGGATTCCCTGGGTCTTCCCCAAACAGCATAGAAAACCAGGTCCCAATTGCACAGGTGTAAGCGTCGTTACATATGCAAATGCAGAGCTAATCCCATTACCCTGTCATCATTGCCGGCTTCCTCCCCGGCTGGGTTTGGCTTTCCCATGTAGTATTCCTGGATTTCTTTCAGCAGATTTTCTTCCTCTTCTGCCTCCGTGGCTTTCTGCTCTTCTGACAGTGTTTCTAAAGCTCGATACACATCCTGGCCCAGTGTGAGATGGATTTCCTGTCCTGCCTCTGGCCTGGAGTGTAAGTCCTGCTTCAGAGCACCATGTTTCTCCTTGAAGCGACGGATTATGTCCTTCACCTTTGCTTCCTCCAGCTCCCTGTACTTCTCCTCCAGGGCCTTGGCCTGCTGCTGCCTCTTCTCCATGGCATGTCTATAAATCTCACTGGTGAGACATCGGCCTCCGTTGGCCTGCACCATCCCCTCCACCACCTCCCTCAGCTCACGGATCTGCTCCTCGCGCTCCGAGCCCGTCGCTCTGTTGTTGAGAGCGCAGCAGCTGTTCCCACAGGCTGCCCCCAGCCCCCGAAGAGCTGGGGTATCACAGCCAGTTACATAGTCGCTCAGTGAGGCACCGTCCAAGTCCTCTTTCCGGGTGAACAGCACGATCAGGTACCTCATGGCCTCCTCTCCAAAGATCTCTCGGACCTGCCCGGCAGCTGCCTGGTCCTCGGCAGTGTAGCAGCCCAGCTGTGTGACCAGCAGCAGCGCGTGGGGGCCAGGGCAGGACAGCGCGATGCAGCGAGCGATCTCCTGGGGGGAGGCTTCCACGGGGCCCTTTGTGCCCAGAATATCGGGAGTGTCGATAACCAGAACCTCCCTCCCGTTCCACGTCCCCCTCCCCGCGGCGCACGTCTGTGTTACTGGCTTTGCACTGAACTTGGACTCAAACTTGATCTCTCCGAGGAGGGTGTTTCCTGTCGCACTTTTCCCAGCTCCCGTTTTACCAACGAGGATGATTCTCAGGTCAGGTCCTCCGGGGCTGTGGCCGCCAGTGTGGGAATCTGTGGGGAACAGGTGAGATTCATCACATCAGTGCCCAGGTCAGAAGGTGGTGATGGAGAGACCAGAGCTGGGAGGAGAATTGGTGCTGGACACGCCCACTAACTCTCCTGCCTCTGTGTCTGCCAGTGAACGGTGAGCAACCGGATGGGTTTTCTCTCACTTCCATTCAGAATTAGTCCCTGGATCCTGCCTCTAAATAACACTGGGCTTATTACTTTAAAAGGGGCTCTTAAGATGATCCTGGCAATTACAGACCAGTAAGTCTAACATCAGTACCGGGCAAATTAGTTGAAACTATAGTAAATAAAATTGTCAGACACATGATGAGCATAATTTGTTGGGGGAAAAGTAAGTCAACATGGTTTCTGTAAAGGGAAATCATGTCTTACTGATCTACTAAAGCTCTTTGAAGGGGTCAACAAACATGTGGACAAGGGGGATCTGGTAGGTATAGTGTACTTCGATTTCCAGAAAGACTTTGACAAGGTCCCTCACAAAGGCTCTTAAGTAAAGTAAGTTGTCAGGGGATAAGAGGGAAGGTCCTTTCATGGACTGATAACAGGTTAAAAGACAGGAAACAAAGGCAGGAATAAATGGTCAGTTTTCAGAGTGGAAAGAGGTAACCAGTGGTGTTCCCCAAGGGTCAGTCCTAGGACCTATCCTATTCAACTTATTTATATATGATCTGGAGAAAGCGGTAAACAGGGAGGTGGCAAAATTTGCAGATGATACTAAACTGCTCAAGATAGTTAAGACCAAAGCAGACTGTGAAGAGCTTCAAAAAGATCTCACCAAACTAAGTGATTGGGCAAGAAAATGGCAAATGAAATTTAATGTGATAGATGTAAAGTATTGTACGTTGGAAAAAATAATCGCAGCTATATGTACTATATGATGGGGACTAATTTGGCTACAACTACTCAAGAGAGAGATCTTGGAGTAACTGTGGATAGTTCTCTGAAAACATCCACTCTGTGTGCAGGAGCAGTCAAAAAAGTAAATAGAATGTTAGGAATCTTTAAAAAAGGGATAGAAAATAAGACAGAGTATATCATATTGGCTCTCTATAAAACCATGGTATGCCCACATCTTGAATACTGCGGATAGATGTGATTGCCTTGTCTAAAAAATCGTATATTGCCATTGGAAAAGGTTTGGCATAAAACATGATTAATGAGTCCCATATGAAGAGAGATTAAAAAGACTTGGGACTTTTCATCTTAGAAAAGAGGAGGCTGATAGAGGTCTATAAAATCATGAGTGATGTGGAAAAAATGAATAAGGAACAGTTATTTACTTATTCCCGCAATATAAGAACTAGGGGTCACCAAATGAAATTAATAGGCAGCAGGTTTAAAACAAACCAAAGGAAGTTTTTCTTCACTCAGCGCACAGTCAACCTGTGGAACTCCTTGCCAGAGGATTTTTTCAGGAAGAACAACTCTTGTGCAAGAGGGGGGTTTTGCGCAAAAAACTCTCATGCAAAAACAGCTTCTAATTAATCATGCAACTGAAGCATGGCAATATGCTGATCCATGCTTTATTTGCATAGGCTTTTGCAGAAGAGGGAAGCTGTGTAGGGATAGCTAAACAGTTACACTTCTAGCACTTCCTGTGTGGACACTTATGTTGCACAATAAAAGTGGCCTTTCTGAGTTTAGTTTAAAGCTTTTTCAAAGGAAAAAAAAAGCAAACATGATTCTGGGCTGCATTAACAGGAATGTTGTGAGCAAGGCACGAGATGTCATTCTTCCGCTCTACTCCTCACTGATCAGGCCTCAATTGGAGTATTGTGTCCAGTTCTGGGCACCGCATTTCAAGAAAGATGTGGAGAAATTGGAGAAGGTCCAGAGAAGAGCAACAAGAATGATTAAAGGTCTAAAGAACATGAGCTATGAAGGAAGAATGAAAGAATTCGGCTTGTTTAGTTTAGAAAGGAGATGACAGAGTGGACATGATGACTGTTTTCAGGTGTCTAAAAGGGTGGCACAAGGAGAAAGAAAAATTGTTCTCCTTGGCCTGTGAGGATAGAACAAGAAGCAATGGGCTTAAACTGCAGCAAGGGAGGTTGAGGTTGCACATTAGGAAAAAGTTCCTACCTGTCGGGGTGGTCAAACACTGGAATAAATTGCCCAGGGAGGTTGGGGAATCCCCATCACTAGCGATATTTAAGAATGGGTTAGACAGACACTTATGAGAGGTGATCTAGATGGTGCTTGGTCCTGCCGTGAGGGCAGGGGACTGGATTTGATGACCTCTCGAGGTCCCTTCCAGTTCTAGTGTTCTAGGATTCTATTAAAAGAAGTTCGATAAAAGAAACCAACCAAAAAAGGTTTCGTTACTGAGTCATATTGATACTAGTTTAAATTCATACTTTGCCTTGTGTCTTTCCCATGCGGAGAAGGCCTCAGCGAAGAGTTTTCTTACATTGCGTCACAGGAAAAGGAAAGGATGAACGTTAAAATCAACAGCTTGTCACAGTGAAATCTGTGTGACCGTCACTTGCAGAAAGCAACGGAAATGCGACTCTTCCCGTTCCCATCACCAAGACATGTCTGAAGAGCTGGTCTGCGTGCATCTCTCCCTGGGACTACTCCATATGACCAAATACACTGCTTTAATCCATGACATCTGTTTGGTCTTGGAGGAGAACTGTTTTCTGGGACTACACAAACACTCAGGAATTGCTTAACACAGACTCACCCATGCATGGAAATTACCCTGGCTTCGCACAGCTGAAGAATGATACAGCACACTGACGAGGAGTCCTGTGGTACCTTAGGGTATGTCTACACTATCACTCTAGTTCGAACTAAGGTGGTTAATGTAGTCAATCGAAGTTGCAAATGAAGCCCGGGATTTAAATATCCCGGGATTCATTTGCATCTTGCCGGGCGCTGCCATTTTTAAATCCCCGGTAGTTCGGACTCCGTGCCTGCGGCTACACGTGGCACCGAGTAGATAGTTCGAGGAGGAGGACAATGGCTGACACTCTCGGGGTGATGCAGGGATGCCCAGATGCTCATTCTGTATTATCTGCCTTTGCTGCCCTTGTTAATAAAACTCTGACATATCCACAAAGGGCTTTCCGAGGTGTCAGTGTTCCAGCTGGAGTGCGGGAGGTGAGCAGGCATGAGCCTGCCCACCTCTAAAGGGCCTCCCCCCAGTCTATGGGATCCGCGCAACCCAAGCCACCAAATGATTACAGGAGACAAATAAAGAGAAAACCGGGACGGGTGTTGAAGTCAAAGAGCTAAAAGGAGGAAGCTGGACAGAGACACCAAGCAGAGAACCCTGGACAATGCCCACTGCCCCTCGAAGTCCTTGAGAGAGCCAGCGGATGCCGCCCAGGGGAACTCTGCCCTGATGCATGAACAGATACAGGAGTGGAAATAGGCCCCCCAGTTGCAGGCCCCTCCCTCAGCCAACATCTGCTCCCCTAAGTGTCAGTGTTGCCACTAAGTACATGGGGGAGGCCAAATTAACAATAATTCTAGTAGCTGGGCCTGATTTTGGGACTGGAATCTGCATGACCTCACAGTGTTAAGTGGGGATTCTTACGTAATCAATAGAATTAATATAGCCTCAATAGATCAGCCCACATATCCCAATGTGTCTTTCTGACGTCTCCTTGTGGGTGTCCAGCTACCAGCTGAAATGCGATGTGGCCAATAGAAAGCTCCAGATCTTTCTCCAACAACTCCTGTTATTCAAACCCAGGCACTTGAAACTTTTTATGGTGCGCTTGGGTTGCTCTTTGACTGCCACCTCCCTTTTTAGATTCACACTCATCTGCTCCCTGTATACTTTGTCATTTCTTGCTTCACAAGGTCTCCGTGATGCTATCACTACATTGCCAGTGCTCCTGTCCACACCCTGATCATTTCTGATGACTATGATCCCCTCTCTGGCTGTGATCCCCGCAACCTGTGCTTGTAGGTCAGAGTTAAGGTGAACGGGCAGAGCTGTATGGGACTCCCATAGTAGAATGTTCAGGGGGGCTGCAGGATTGGGCAGAGCCCAGGAATAGAAGGGAAGAACGGGAATTACTAGGGACACTGCAGAGCAGGACTGAGGTCCATTGGTCCAGCAACAAAACTTGCACAATGTTCCACCATATACCGGGCTCTACGCAGCTCCATTCTCAGTCTCTTACTAGGGATAAAAACTGTCGTTTAAAAAGTTAACCAGTTAAACACTATGTTGAACCAGTCAACCACGGAGCAGCCCCCCACCTGAGGTGTGATGTGGGTGAGGGGCTGCTCCAGACCAGACAGACCGTCAGTTAACTGGTTACCTGGCAAGCATCACCTTTACCTGGTGATACTTACCAGGTAACCGATTACCCAGCTACCCCTTTACATCCCTATCTCTTCCTTTTCCGACCACTCGTAATTCCAGAGTCATCCAAAATAAAACCCTCACTTTTTTTGTACCTGACGTTTGGTCAGAAGTGCAGAACATTTGAAATCTGGATCCTCTGTTCCAGAGTCCCTGCAGCCGTTCAGGTGGGTACCGATATTTCTACAATGTACGTTGAATTCCTCACTTCGTGGAACTTTCATTTCCACAACAGGGAAAGTTGAGTCGAGCTTAAAGGCAGTAAAGGAGGCAGAACAAGGAAGTTGATGTCAGTTTCTTACCATGGAGACGTTCTTCTGCCAGATTATTGTCTTCTCTAGCTAGCCGAGCCATCTGTGGAAAAGACACAGGCGCCGTTACAAGCAGTTTATTAGGGAGGCTCAGGACGGAGCTGACAGCCATGCGATCAACAACTAATGTCTCTTGTATGACCACTTCCACGCCACTATTGGATTGGTCATGGCAGAAATGAAGCCCTTTCCTGACTCTCCCCCAGCTGCATGTCAGAAACTGCTGTCCACGAAAATGCCTCCTGCCATTTCCGAAGAACTGCTGGGGGATGGGGTGGGGAGACAGTTCACGCAACTAATTTAAGAAGCTAATCTACATCCAAAGAAAAACTTCAGCTTCACAATACACGTGAACATCTTTGGTCCAGGACTTTCAGGTCTGGCAACATCCATGGTTGGGCAGGACCATGGATGTTGTTGGACCACAGAGCCTCGGTAGCTGGGAGTCTGATAGGAGAGGGGCTGGTGGCCAGGAGGGCAGCTGGGCCGGGAATGGAGCCTGGTGGCTGGGCCTGGCAGTGACCTCTCCTGGCCTGACAAACTCTGGGTCCCGGATTGGGGAGGTCCATCTGCACTGCACTGATTTAATGATGAAAGGCATTATCCTACCTGCTGGACCAATGGACCTCAGTCCTGCTCTGCAGTGTCCCTGTAATTCCCATTCTTCCCTTCTAATCCTGGGCTCTGTCCAATCCTGCAGCCCCCCTGAACATTCTACTATGGGAGTCCCATTCAGCTCTGCCCGTTCACCTTAACTCTGACCTACAAGCACAGGTTGCGGGGATCTCACCCAGAGAGGGGATCATGAATGGAGGCGGGCCCCTGAACGGGGGTTCTCCCTCGTAACAGTCACTGGCCTCCGCTTCACAGTGAGGAGAAGACACAAAGACAGAGAGAAAAAACAGGACTATGTAGCACTTTAGAGACTAACAAGATGGCTTCTGAGGAAGTGGGTCTGGCCCACGAAAGCTCATCACCTAATAAACCATCTCTCTAAAGTGCTACATAGTCCTGTTTTTCAGCTACACCAGACTAACACGGCTACATCTCGATCACTAAAGACAGAGAGGGCTGCTAAGCGGGGCAAAGGGAAGCGCCCTGTGGTGGAGGCAGAATAAAACCACCGCAGAGCTTCTGGCTGCAGAGTTCTGTCAGTCTAGATGCCCCGTTTGATTTTGTCACTGTTAACAGCCCCCAGGGGGTGTCCCGCAACACCCATCCTGACTGCTCTGCTCAGGGATTCAACTCCGCTGCCCGGCACCCACTCAGACACGCAGGCACCTGCCCTGTAGGACTGGGCATTTTGGAAATTCGATTTCCTGTCGGCTCGGTGTCGAAAGGTCACGTTGCATTTTCCCAGCAGATCCTGGGAGGCTGGGCAGTCCCAGCGGCACCCCAGTGGTAGGAGCTTCGATGCCTGCAGGCACACGTCTGAACACACACGATTGCACTGAACAGACACAAATACACAACAGCACTGAACACACACACAGCTGCACTGAACACACACGATTGCACTCAACACAAGACAGCCCTGAACACACAATTGCACTGAACAAATGTTCACACAGGACAGCACTGAACACACACAGCAACACTGAGCACAAGACAGCCCTGAACACACATGAGCGCATTGAACAAATGTGCACACACACGACAGCACTGAACACACACAGCAACACTGAACACACATGATTACACCGAACAGACACAAATACACAACAGCACTGAACACATGCACACACACAGCCGCACTGAACACACATGATTGCACTGAACAAATGTGCACACACACGACAGCACTGAACACACTCAACAACACTGAACACTCACGATTACACAATAGCACTGAACACATGCACACACACAACAGCACTGAACACACATGATTGCACTGAGCATGGACAAATACACAACAGCGCTGAACACACATGCACACATGACAGCACTGAACACACATGATTGCACTGAGCATGGACAAATACACAACAGCACTGAACACACTTGATTGCACTGAGCACGGACAAATACAGGACAGCTGAACACACATGATTGCACTGAGCACGGACAAATACACAACAGCACAGAACACACATGCACACACGACAGCGCTGAACACACATGATTGCACTGAGCACTGACAAATACACGGCAGCTGAACACACATGCACACACACGACAGCGCTGAACACACACACGCCTGCACACAGAGCCCCAGGAAGCACTGGGGAGCTCTGGGGAGTCGTTATTTCGAAATAGTGGCCCGGGAGCCTCCTTTCGACCTGTTTCGGAATTCGCATTGTCCCGCAAGAAGAGCAGGGGGCGGGAGGGGGGGCAGACTTGGAATTCCGCGGCTCCTTATTTCAAAATACCGGGCTCGACAGCGTGGCTGCTCCGCTTATTAATTCGCCGGAGGGGGGGCAGGGGGGGGTATTTGAAGGACAGCCCCCGTGCAGGGTGAGCGGGGGCCCCACAGTCCCGAGGGCTCGGTGCTGCCCTTTGGGGGCCAGGGAAGGGCCCAGGGCCCCGGGCTGCCCGTGCACAAGGGGGGGT